ATTTTGTCTTAGTATTGTTTATAATGACAGTTTTTTGACGCAATAGATCAGTCTTAAGCTGTAACAGACGGTAAACGTGATCCACCTGTCGCTGGAGAGAACATTTTTCTACCTTTTTTGTTCAGCCTGTACAACAGAAGGTCTTGGAATAGGAAAAGAGAAAAAACTTTTTCCTGTAGTCTTGAAACTTATTGCCATTACCATAATGTTTTTTTAATCGTTTAATCGTTTGTTCTGACTCTTGTATATAGGCTGCTTATATTCACATTGTTTTTATCATTTTTCGTCATTTGACATAATGTATTATGTAATTGTTTCCTATTTCAACTACAGCGATCAAAAATTTCATTGATGAGGCCTTTGCTAATACAAGTTCTTGGATTAAACATATTGAAAGTTCATGAAAAATTACCTACATGAAGTAGGCTGCAAAGCAAAAGCAAATAATTTTAAATAGTATTTTGTTTAAGACTAACTTGTTTATGTGATATTCATTGATTATTATTAATGGGCCAGGAGTCGGTTTCACAAAAAAACTTACGACTAAGATTGATCGTAAGTCATGAACAATTCAGTATACTTAGATTAATCGACTCCAGGAATTGCAAATCAAGACTTTAAAATCAAACTTGTATATAATTGTTAAAATCCAAAGTTTATAAGGTAACGCATGTATGTTTGAGAACAGATATCTTGAGTATCAAACTTACTAGTCAAAATCTGGATCTTTCAAGACTCCAGGAATTGCAGGTCAAATGTGATTGGTCTTTCAAATTAAACAGGATCTTTCATGTGTATCTGTAAGAATAAAATGCAAGTGCCAACCAAATAAACCAGCATGTCCCACAGTGAAAGACAGTGTAACATTTCTTAAATGAACACACATAATGCTATATAAAATTAATATCACATGTCTACATCATTTTAAATGTGTTAAATTCAGTTAAGACTTGTTTCACTGTATGACTTTAATTGTTGTTATTTGAAATACAAAACAATTACTGGTCTTTAATTTACACAGTACAGTGCTTATACTTTCATTATTAAGAAACTCTGCTATGCATGCCCCATTAACTTTTGGGTAACATAATAAAATAATTAAATAATACTTTGAGACTATAATTATAAAGCATAACTTCTAAGTGGAATTATCTCCCCTTAAAACAATTTCCATCATGCATATGATACCTATTGTTTACAGTTAATTAAGGTCAACTGTGATTGGTCTTTGAACACCTATAAATAGCTGTTCGAAAAGAAACCCAAAATATGTAGTTATAAAGTTAAGATCTTGAGCAGATATCAATTGCAAAAATATTTTGAAATTAAGAAGCAGTACACCAAATTATATGGTGTATGGGGAACTCGGAAGATTCCCTTTGGAAACTATTGTTAAACGTAAAATGGTGATGTTTTGGAATAGTTTATTATTGGAGAATAACAAGTTATCTTCCATTATGTTTAAATTAATGCTCAAATTACATTTTCAATACCCCACAAAATTTAAATGGATTACGTACGTTAAATCCATATTTGACGAAAATGGAATTATAGTTTTATTTGGCAAAATCAACTTCCATTGGATAAACTGTGTTTAAAGAACATTATTTCACAAAAACTGAATGACCAATTTATCCAACACTGGTTTTCCCAAATGAATAACTCTTCAAGAGGTGCTTTTTATTCACATTACAAACAGGAATTTCGTTTGGAAACCTATTTAATAAAGTTGAAGCTGTGTGACAGGATTTATATAGCAAAATTCAGATGCTCAAATTTAAAATTTCCTGTAGAAACGGGAAGATGGTCTAGAATACCAAAACATGAGTGAATTTGTCATCTCTGTGGAAACGGGATAGGAGATTAATTTCATTATCTATTCAAATGTCAAAAACAGGAAATAAAACTGCTTAGAAATAAATATATACCAGAATTTTATACTGCAAATCCAACGGAGTACAAATTAAAACAGCTTCTAACATTTTGTCATGTAGAACTTTACAAAAACTTAGCAATATTTTTAAAAATACTTACGCGATACTTATGATTTATATTTGTCTTTTTTGAGTTGAATGTCATGGTAACTTGTAAATTGACATTTTGCTGTATTTTAATATGCATGCATGCATTATTATGTGTAGTGTAAATGTATTGAGTATAAAAATGTGTATACGTGTATATATGATGTCCTCTTGTACACCTATGTGTCTGAGGTTTAATAATAAAGTATTGTCTATTGTCTACTGTTAATAGATATACATGTATATACTTTTTGATTGCCTAAGTAAGTTCAAAGCCCCAAGACAGGATTAAATATATACATGTTCTTATTTAGACAAAATTATTTCTGAATAATTAAAACAAGCTTAAGGTGAACTAAATTTATGATGTGAACTCTTCTTCACATATACCATGTATACATGTAAAGAACCTGGAGACCAAATAAAACAGATCTGATTCAAAGTATTTACCTTAGATGGAAGCCTTAAAGTCAATATTTGGTAAGTTTTCATAGGACACTTTGTTGGTTTTGCTGAATTGTAATACACCTTATGTTACTTTATATAATAAATAAACACAGATGCCCCCACTGGCAAAAGAGATTAATTTTCAGGCATGATTCATGGTGGCAAAACATAAAAAAAAATATTTGGAACTGTGAAAGTGATGCCACCAAAATTTTAACCTCATATGTGCTTGAAATCATTTGGTCAATGCAAAACGATATTCTCTTGTGGAAACAAAAATTAAGATGGACTGTCGAACAGAAAGACAGAAAGGTGGACGGACGGACAGACAGACACTTAAAACAGTAAAATCCTAATTTTGTTTTCTATGTTTCTTCTTAACCATCTTGAAAACATTACAATAAGAATCTGAGTCTGTGCTATTGATACCAATTGTACTTGTTTTCATAGATGGGGAGGAACGATGACATAGAAAGCCAGTTGGATAATTTGTTGCTGACTCAGCAGCTATATTTTCTGATGAGGCACAACTTATTTTCCTTTTCAGGGTTTTCTGTTTTAAAATCCTCTCTGAATCACAAGATGAAGTTTCATTCACATCATGTGTTGCTGACAAAACTTCATCAAGATAATCCTGCTGAGAAGCAGATAGTTCAGAAGAATTTTCTCTATTGGAAGAAAAAAGGTCTACTGAACCATCTGCTTTAACTGTGACGTCAGTTTTATGAGAGGATCCTGAAATCAAACTCATTGAGTTGTCATACGTGGAGTCTGAGGAGGGTACATATGTTACAGTTTGTACTTCTGAACATGTACCTCCATGACTCCATGTATGATCACTTGAGCTTGAAACTTCATCAGCATGATCAGGTGTAAGCTGTAGGTATAAACATGGATCAGGTTCTACAATAGCAAAATCTCCATGAATATACCTACGCATTATAGCCTCACTAGCATTTTGATATAGATCTAAATTTTTATTTATGGTATAAAACTCTGGGGCATGCAGCTTTATAATATCATGCTTATTTTCCAGAGATCTCAAAACTATAGTTCTTGATGTCATTCTTTTTTCCCTGAAAACAAACACATTTATATTTATATTGAATCTTGTTTAACAATGTTTCAGTTTATGTTCATTTAGATGTTTATTTCCCCCTGAATTTTTATTAAGTGACATATGTTGCATTTTCTGGTATTTTTTATTTCTGATTTGAACAAATGTTATTTAGCCTTTCAATTTAACATACATTTTCAACTTTTAATATGACTTTTCAAAGAAGATTACAAATAATTACAAGCGTTATACTGCCTTAATATTTCAAGCGCTATCTTACCTTATTATTTCAATTAATCTGGTCACAAAGGTATTATTAAGTCGTTGAATTCTGTATACAGTTGTAAATAGCAGTACAATATATATATACAAGAAAGAATTTTTATACTTGTCAAGCTAACATCACAAACCGTTAAAACGGTAGACACAAATTTGAAATGAATCGATTCAACACCAATATTACTCCTGGCCATTATTGATAGTCAAAATTAAATCCATCAATTTGATCAACTAGATGGAGCCTTCTAGGGAAGGTGTATGTCGACTGCGCTAAGTATCAGTAAACAATAAGTAGATGAGGGACGGCAATGAAAACAGTATACACGCTATAGCATCATGGTTGACTTACATACCAAAAATTAGATGAATATCTCAAGCCGTTTAGTAAAAAACTATTGATTAATATTGGTTGTGGAATGTTCACACACCCTTTTTTAAATTTTTTTTACAACTTATACAAGTGAATTGCAGAATCACCCTGGTCATTAATATAGCTGTTTATGTTAATGCAATGTTCAATTGAACATACAAATTAATATTCTTGACAAGTATTTCATCATACTTTTATTGAAAAGGAATATACAAAGGTAGCCATGAAAAATTGAAATTTGACCACTTCAATTTTAAACTCAACTTTTGGCCAGATATAGCAGGCTAAAATTGTACAAAAGTAGAGCAGTATATCTCTTGTACTGTAAACGAAATAGTTGTGGGCAAATGGGGCTAAATTTGACCTTTTTCTTATAAGAAATCTTTTAATAACAAATCCAAACACAGACTACACGGAGTGACAAAGTTGTGAGGCCAGATCAACACATAATATTGCAATTTCCACCATTCTGCATACATAGAGATATAGCTAATACCATAACCTTTTTAGTCCAGTGGGAATTTATTGTTTTTACATGAAAAATAGCAGAAACAAGAGTTGATTGGACTTACAGGTTTTGACCACCGGAAGTGAAAGAAATTTTATTCAAGCAGAGTTATCTACCCTTTTTTCACCTGACGGTAGTTAAGGTACCAGTCTTGTATTACAATTCAGTTTCCGGTGCATGTCAAAACATGGAGTTAAATAAAATAGTCCCAATTTTTCTGAATTTTTTTCTGCACTGCCTATAAACTGTTTGATTAAAACTTTGTGATGAATTGAAAGTACTATTTAAATGTAACAAAAATGTTGCATCTTTTTTCAGAAATTAAATTAGGAAGGTGGAAGGATCTAATGTTTACTAGAAGTGGTGCGGTCGGATGAAAACAGCAAACAGAAAGTAGAAAAAGGAAGTTTTGACTTCGAGGTTGATTAACTTTATATTCTTCGTGGCAAGGTGCCTTTTTTTTGCATAAAATCATAGTATAACATTACTAAATGCATGATCTGTACACAAAAAAAATTTTCTATGTAGCATTTTTGAATAAATTTTTTTTGAAGATCAGCTGTTTTGCATGTAAGCCTATGGAGCAATCAATTACAAGACTGCAACCTTGGTAGTCATTTTTGGAATTTTTTTTCATGTTAAAAATGCAAATTTCCCAGGATGCTGCAACTGATTTACATATTCTGGGTACTATACTACCTCATGGTATTTTTAAAATGGATCCTCAGTGGAAAGTTGTGCAATTAGCAGGCTTAATTTCAAAAATTGACCAAAATGTCCAAAATTCCAAGGGTTGCCAAATTTGGTCGACAGTATTTGCAGTCAATCAAAGAGAAAGGGGTTTAACTCGTGGTCCAAAATATGGTCGTCTTAAATAAAGTGGCCAAATGGAAGAAAAATTTTTTATCTGGCCCATAGATTTATGTTTATGTGACAAATTGACCTAACAGAGATAGCTGCGGATTTACATGTTTCACACCTATGTCATAATAGTTTGTGTATTAATCCTGAACATTTGTCTCTAGAACCTCCCAATATAAATAATTGCAGGCAAATATGTAAAAATTTAGTTCCACAAACCTGTCAGACACATGGAATGTACCCAGAATGCATAATTTAGTTGCAGTATGTAAGTAAAATACAGAAATGTCACTTTGTATAAGAATGATCAGCACGAGTTCTCCGTTTACTTCTTAAAGTTTTTTCTGAATCCAAAAGATCTTTCTGATATGTCTCCTTTTCTACAGATTTTTCATCGTAAAGTTCAAATCTTTCAAGTTTCGAAACAGTTCGTTCATGTTTAACAACAGGATTTTTTTACGCAACTGGTGGTATTCATAAATTTCGTCTTCCCTTTTCAGTTGATGAATCGGACGCGAATTTGGAGAAAGTGGTACACCAAGAGCTTCACATTTTAAAACAGCTGATTCTCCAGGTCTATGATTAATTCTATCTGCAGTGGAGTGAATTCTAGCAGGAAAATTTCTCTGGAAGGTAATATCTTTAGGATTAGACTTATTATATCCTCTGTTTGTAGCTTCACATTTTTGGGTACTTGTACCGTATCGCGTTTTCTCTAAGTTCTTTCTCCCAAATCTAATGTTCATACAGTTGCGTACCAGGTTTTCATCATCCTCTGTCATGTATAAGCATCTGGCATGTTCAGGCAAGAATTCTTTTCCCCAGAAATCACTTTCTGTCCCTTTACAAATATAGGAATAGGCGCGGCATGTATCTCCACAATGTCCTGTGTAACAGTCAATAATACAATCTGCTACATAACTTTTATTTACAAGTCTATTCAATTCCCCAGCAGCCTCCTTGATAGCAAAGTTATATTCCACAGTGCACCTGTTGGTTAAATCCAAGGAAAATCTCCTGTGAAGCTTCTCACGGTCTGCTTTTGTCCTTCCGGGAAACATAAATTCACTAAAATTTGCCTTATCAATGCTACGCAATTGGGTTGACGCCAAGTGTCTTGGATCGCGCAAGTTTTCTGGTGTCAGGTTAACAACTTCACTATGTTTCTTGCTGAATCCTCTGTAGGCATGGCTGTCCCCATCTGTAGTTAACTGTCCAATAACTAGAGGCTGTTCATCTTCTGCTAACTGATCTGCCAGTAATTCACCATAGAATTCCTCATTACCAATGGAGTCCCATGGTTTTAGGTTTGCCGAACAGTGGCCTTGGTGTCCAGGACAAATTGCGTTCTCTCCAGTTGACCTTAGATAACTGGCTGTTTTGCAGAGCTTATTGGCATCATGTACAGCAATGATCTTCTTCCTAGCTGTCACATTTTCAACAATAGTGGTTGTTGCTTGTGTCCCAGGTTGAAAGGGAGTCCTTGTTCGAGATCCAAACAACGGATTGTTGTATCGAGTGTCACACTCTGCAGGTATCGGTGTGTCGGTTGGGAACCCTGAGCGCTCCAATGCTTGTCTTACAATTTGTCGCTGCTGTTTCATATCTTCTCTGTTCATATTGACCAGCATCTCACCGCATTCATTGGACTGTCTCTGCATGTCGGTCCTTGATGGAGCTGGATGGCTAACGGTCCGCATCAATTGGCACCATGCAGTATTTGAAATACCTGTATCCGCAAGTCCAATTTGCAACCTTCTGTTGGGGGCACCTGCTTTCCTGCCCTTTTTTTCGTCCTCCCCTATCTCTTCATACAAGGGGTACATCAAGGACTCATATTTACACATGGTACAAACCACTTTTTCTCTCCAACACATGGTTCTCTGCTCTTCGGCATCATAGTCAAATTGAAAGTTCCCCTTACAGCCTGGTGACTGCTCCAAATGTTCATGAAAGGCTCTGGTGAATAGTTTACAGGTTCTATCTTCATGTAAAAACCTATATGTGTTCTTGTCTCTTCTGATTAAGTTGTCTGTATATCTTTCAAATACACTGGGTTCCCCAGGCTGTGGTCTCAGTACAGATATAACTTTTGAGTTATCTACTTTGGTTACATTTTCCTTCAAAATTGTCAAGGCTTTGTCATTCAAACTTTCTTCTTTGGTCTTAGCAGCATCTGGTCTGACATATTTCTTCCTAATTTCAGTCTTTTCATCCCACTCAACAACAGGAATTTGTCTCCTATCATCATCGCCTTTCTTAAACTGAACACTTTTTGACTTACTTGTATATGGCATCTTTGAACTCTGATGCCTATTTTGAAAATACTTCTGAATTTATACTTTTCCAACATCATCAATCAACTGTGTCAAAAGTCAAAACACCCAAAAAATGCAACTGACAGCATTCAAATGCCAGATATGGCAGCCTCTTAGAACCTTACTGATGATAATGACAGTTCAATAGAATTCCACCACATGACAGTAAAGACCCAATTCTAACCAAGGTGTGAAGTACCATAAAATCATCAAGCAGTCAAAAGAATCTACACACATTCTGCTACACAGTGGCACCTAATTTTCAAGAATTAAAACAAACACTTAGAAAACAATCTAACTTTTATTTGACAAAAAGCATTTTTTTTTACAATACAGTAATTAAAAATACATAAAAATTACATAATATCAAAATATACAGTTTTTTCTTTAATAATTGTAAAGTTCAATGTATTATGTACAAAAATATCACACATTAGGTCAAAAATCTCCAAAAGAAAAAATTTACAAGCAAAAATTAGAGTTGACCCTATATACAAAAAAAAAAAAATCTTAAATATCCCAAAAAGGGTACAACTCTAAAAAATGTAATTTAAGACGCAATTTAATAGTAAAACAAAAATAATTTGGCATACAAGTCAGAATATGGTTCTTCTTTCTTAAATAATTTTTTCGTAATTTTCCGAGCAATGTTGAATTGGTTGTAGGTACCAGTCTTGTATTACAATTCAGTTTCCGGTGCATGTCAAAACATGGAGTTAAATAAAATAGTCCCAATTTTTCTGATTTTTTTTCTGCACTGCCTATAAACTGTTTGATTAAAACTTTGTGATGAATTGAAAGTACTATTTAAATGTAACAAAAATATTGCATCTTTTTTCAGAAATTAAATTAGGAAAGTGAAAGGATCTAATGTTTACTAGAAGTGGTGCGGTCGGATGAAAACAGCAAACAGAAAGTAGAAAAAGGAAGTTTTGACTTCGAGATTGATTAACTTTTTATTCTTCGTGGCAAGGTGCCTTTTTTTTGCATGAAATCATAGTATAACATTACTAAATGCATGATCTGTACACAAAAAAAAATTTCTGTGTAGCATTTTTGAATAATTTTTTTTTTAAGATCAGCTGTTTTGCATGTAAGCCTATGGAGCAATCAATTACAAGACTGCAACCTTAATATAGCTACATTACATCCAGTTATATTACGATGTCAATGGAAGAAGTTCCCGCGTAAATGTCATGTGTTAAACGGGATACACTAAAAAAAGAATTTTAGGTGTATGTTAGCATTCACATTCCGATCAATTTACACAGTTCAATTATATATGTTAACTATATTTATATTGGATTTAAATTTAGATACTTTATCAGAGAAATTATTTGTTTCTCGCAGACAACGCTAAATAATATACATTAACTCGACATTGAATCTGAACACCCCTAAAACGAGCATGTTGCGAACAGACCCGATCCCCCCCCCCCCCCTTTTTTTCTGGGACAATTTTTGTTGTGATATGCTGTACATCTTCTTCAGTTCTGACTAGACTAGCAGGGTCGGATACAGCTATTTTTAAAAAGAGGAACTTTATCCAGGATAAAGGGTCAGTTCCAACTAAATATCCCCATTCAAATGCATTGATTGTCACCCGGCATGTCAATAAAAAAAGGGGGTTTCAACCTCCGGAATCAACTGCCCCCTGGATCCGCCACTGACTAGTCTTAATGTGTACAAACCTGACGTCAAATTATGTACTATAGAAGAAACAAAAAATATCACATTACATTCAATTAATGAGTAATCCCCAAATTCAATTATATTACGATGGCAATGGAAGCAGTTCCCGCGTAAATGTCATGTGTTAAACGGGATACACTAAAAAAGAATTTTAGGTGTATGTTAGCATTCACATTCCGATCAATTTACACAGTTCAATTAAATATATATGTTAACTATATTTATATTGGATTTAAATTTAGATACTTTATCAGAGAAATGATTTGTTTCTCGCAGACAACGTTGAATAACATACATTAACTCGACATTGAATCTGAACACCCCTAAAATAAAATGGTATATGCAATCGACCAAACAGATTTTCCTAATATTGATAAAGGTGAAATACGTATAATAAGAATTACGCACACTGAAATAAGATCAGAGATAAAGCCCTATGTAAAGTGAAAACCAAATAAAAAAATATATAAAATCATTGTTTTTTTAAATTTCCTTGCATAATAACCTTGAAGTTGAAACTAAAAACTATTACGTGTATCCTGTCAACCCCTGAAAAAAATAATACTGTCTCCTTGACTACTTCCGCGCGCCACGGACTTGTAAAATGATATATTGTGATAGTCTATTTTAATTATTGTAAATCATGACAATATGAGAGTGGTGTTAATTATAAAGTGAGATGAAAATAAAAAGGGAATGTGTCCATGGGACACACATGATGCCCCTGCTTGCATATCATATAAAGTTTTAAAGGGACATAACTGAAGAACGATAAAAGTGACCCTACCCAAATTTGTAGTTGATCTGACTTTTGTGTTAATAGGTATTGTGTATAAGTTTCATAATATATGGTTGAGGCAAACTTAAGTAAGAGAACGGAAACTTTTATGTTTGTAAAGGGGCATAACTCTAGAACAGTAAACGTTACACAACCAAAGTTCTAATTTGATCTGCGTTTTGTGGTAATAAGCATTGTGTATAAGTCTCATACCATTTGGTTGAGGAAAACTAAAGTTAGAGAACGGAAATGAAAAATTCAGCAATTTTCATTTGAAAAGGGGCATAACTCTAGAACGGTTAAAGTGACGCCACCAATTTCAAACTTGATCTGTATTTTGTGGTAATAAGCATTGTGTATAAGTTTCATAACATTTGTTTGAGGCAAACTTAAGTTCGAGAACGGAAACCAAATCGTGCAGTTAAGGGTAAAACGTAATGCGCCCACCGCTACGTAGGGGGCATAAAAAGAAATGGATTCCCAGACGTATACTTTCTTAAAGAATGATAATGATTCAAAACATGGACACATGTACCTTCTTTCAAAAATTCATAAAATAAATCTAGACATAATTAATGAGGCATTGCGAACTGGTGAGATAGTAGGAGACATTAAATGTTCCTTACCGACCAATTATCAATAAGTGTAACTCTCCCACGAGACGGTCTAAGTAGTAGTTACTACTGTAATCACTAGCCAGTCAACACTGAGGTTGTGAGTTCGAACCCCGCTCGTGCGGGTGCACTCGACTCCAATCTTAATTGACTAGGATTGTCAGTTTTCCTATCGAAGGTCGGTGGTTTTCTCCGGGCACTCCGGCTTCCTCCACCAATAAAAACTGACCG